GTGTGTCAAAGTCTTGTACGGTGTCTTTAGAATGACTTTCGTCCAAAAGAGGTGGTTTTGAATTTTCTTCCATTGACTTCTAATAGAGGTCGCAAAATTGAGCTGACCTTAGGTCACCGATATGAAAATTCCGAGATATAAATTTTGTACATGCTGTTGCCCTATCAATCGCTGAAAGTTTCAAAGTGATCGGTCACTCGGTGTAGCTACGGCATACCTACATTGAAACATTTTATGAGGTGAGGTCACTTGAAGTGACCTGGTGACCTGATCTTGAATGACCTTGGTCTGAAATTTTTACAACACGTGTAGAATTGTTGGATGATGGAGCGCCGCCGTTTTTGAGATATCCGCGAAAAAAAAAAACACAGGAAAAACCGCAGGTGTTCAAACACCCCCCCCCCCCCCCCACCAGCAGGGCGCCAACACACGTTAACGATTTGCCCCAGTAGTCAAAATTCCTTAGCCGAGGCCCTGGCATAGTGCATTCGCCACTAATTCATAAGAGGCACTGTGCTGCGCCGCCTGTTTATTAGTCCGAAACATCTGAATTCATTCGCTGTAACTTACAACAATACGAATCGTGCAGTCATGCGCTGGGGGGTCCGCCAAGTTTGAGTGTGCTGCAGAATGCAGACTGGGCCGCCGAGAATATAACATTCCCGTCTCCCTGGGCGAACGGCGCATTGGAGCTGAAGGAAACTGCTTCAGTTTTTTTGTGGGGAGGATACCCATGTTTGAAAATTATGTTCGGGAGTGATGCGATGTGGAAAAGGTTTGCTGAATAGAGGGCTGTCGAGAAGATGCAGATTTTCTCATTTGCTAACCGATACAACGCAAAAAGACGCAAATGTTGCACTTTTCAGGGCTTAAATCTAATAAAAGATTAGGGACTTCGTGAATCATGCCTTTTAACCGCGACCCAGTTATTTGCCACTGGGTAGGTACTAGGTAGGTAGGTACTCATTTGTGAACAGAACGTTCTACCACCACTCGCCAGAAATTCAATGAGCAGACAGCAATTGCTTATCCTTGAACGTTTGAGTGCACCTAACAACCTTTAAAAATGACGTCCTCCCTTTCAATGGTTTGCGCGAAGACACATAGCCATAATCAACCAAGCAATGGCAGAATCCATTGAGCAGCGTGTCAGATGTGCCCCCCAATTCTCAATCCACATAGCATAGCATACACTAAATGTAGGTACACGCACCTACAGGTATTTGAAGGACTTGATAGCTGATACACATGAAAGAAACACAAGGCGCTAAAATCAAACGCAATTAACTAGCTGCAGCAGAAGTTTGGCGTCCGATGCCTCTTCGCCAAGTAAAGACCATGCCAATCTCGACCAGTCTGCCGCCGCGCCGGCACTGGCCGTGGTGTGACGTCATCCGGCCGGCACGTCGACGTACAGTTCCACACTTAGGTAACTCGCGGCCCGGCGCGGTCAGCTGCGCCGTCCCGGCCGGCTGGCCAGCTGTCCCTCTCCCGACCATTGACCGACGAACAGACCGACCGACCCACCGACCGACCAATGAGCGGTCACTGACCGGCGACCAAAGACCTACCACTAACCGACCCCGACCAATGACTGACCAAGACCGACCGATAAGCCGATCTCCGGTCACCGACCGACCGCTGACCGTCGACCGACCGACCGCTGACCGTCGACTGACCGACCGCTGACCGACGACTAACCGACGACTAACCGACCGCTGACCGTTTACCAATGATCGCTGACCGGAGGTTGGCTATTGATCTCCGGTATCCGCCGAGCACGCTCGGAAAGGAGCATCAAACAAGCGAAATGTCGATTGTTTCCAATGTGCTTTTTTAAGAATTTGATTTGATTAGGATTCAGGCACGTTCTCAACTTCACATGTCATACACGCCAACATACACGTAATGACGCCGATTTGTCATGTCGTGTCATGTCATGTCATGTCATGTCATGTTATTGTGACCAATGTCCGATATGATTACTCGTTGCATAAACATATGGCGGCTGAAAGTGGCACGTCTTTTCAAAGACATCGGCTTAACATTTGATTGAAAAGGCCCATTCCATTCATACGATTATGTTCGCAGCAGGTCCAGCAGGTGTTTGAAATGTCCAGCCGGCTGGCTCTGCGCGGCGCAGTTCGGCTCGATGCCGCTTGTAGTGTCCGGTCCACCACAGCTGCTCTTTACTGAGGTGGACAGCTTGCTCCGGCTCCGCGATGTCGTATCATTATCCTTTATTTCCATTAGGAGCCCTGCGACTTTTAATGGAGGCTTGCTTTTCATGTGACAACTGAACCCTGGTATCGGGAATCTGCTTTGTTCAAGTATTCATATGCCTTAGACCAGGCCCAGGACCAACCATACTTGAATGCTGTTCATTAATGGTCTAGGCCGAGTTCAAGTTATGCGAGGTTCAGACTGGGCAACCACGTTTTCAGAATTGTTTCCCACCCTTTGATTGATGGATTAGGATTGTCATCATGTAGAGCGTTATGGATTTCTGATGTTTTGTACACGTTCGTAAAACATATTAATAATTATCATTGAGCCCCTGCGTATCAACTACTCAATATGTGTTCACTAAAAATTGAGACAAAGTTTAGCGGGCTGTACCTTCGGTAAAAATGTATAGATTCAAACAAACGAGTTATCATTCCACTGCGTATTGTATCTGCTTCAAGCTGTAGAGCGTTAACAGATTTGTTTGATTGCTATCGGTCCTTTTTTGGACGTTTGTTTGGAAGCGTCGTCAAAGGCTCTGGCACGGTTGGGCCGTGCCTTTGGCCAATTTATGGCGGTAACAAGCTTTCAGTTGATCTTTTGTATGACATTTAATTGCATATTTGCCTCTATTGCTTTATGTAGTTCCCGGTCGATTCGATAAATCATTTCCGCCGTTTGTAACTCATCCCACCCTCAGGTGGAAATATCGTCTCCGCTTAGGCACAGCGCCTTGGGCACAGCTAATTCCTTACTGATCAACAGCGTTGCACCGTGAGGTCCCAAAAAGCCCTCCACGTGCATTTTCGGGTACCCGACCTTTCTTTAGGCCAATGTCTTCACGTTTACACCACTTCAGGTTTTTCTGACTATATACTCCCACTAGTACTTCCTTTTCATCATACAGTAGGCGACTAAGATCGACATTCTAATCTTTTATTATGCATTTGTACGTACGAGACTCTCCCATTGACGCATGATTTGGGAAAAGCCTCCCAATGGTCTTTCGGTGGTCCTCATCTAAAATGACTTCCAACGCAACTGTTTTCGTGAACTTCGTGAAATTTGATACTCGATATGATGATATTTGTTCAATTTATCTATATCCTAAATTGCAACGTAATAGCTTGTTTCACTATTGGTGTGCAGCTGTTCAAAGTTTGTGTCAATTTTTAGTGAACACCTAATTTTGCAATGTGCATTATTTAAAGGTAGTGTGCCACCTTTGAAAGATTTCCCATTTTATTTTTCCTAGGATAAGAAGCTTCTGTTTTTACCTAATATCGCAAAAAAAAAAATCAAAAATGGGCCTGGAGCCTTTTTCGCCTAAAAGTTTTTCGGTTTTTAGATATGTATAACAACTGTAGTGGGCTCACCTGCAAACAGGCGTCGGGCAACAATCGCGAATGCGGCGCACTTGTGACAATAAGCAAAGGTCATTATAGTGTTACGACCATACGACGTACGGGAATGAGTTATTAGCTGTCTAATCGTAGACAACACAATGTCGAGCCTTAAACTGTAAGCCCGTATTGGTATTGTTTCTTTTATTTGGCTGTCGAACATTATTTATGGTTTGAAATATGATTTTATGTAAAATAATTGATATGAAAAAGCCGTCTTATAAGTTATGACCCCATTTCACCACACGCAAGTGGCAGAAATGACAATGATCAGCTGACGCATTTTTCTTGGCCGAAGTCAGAGCGCGCGGCCCGACGCACCACGCGTATTTGGAAATTCCGACCTCGACGAGCATCAGAAGCCACCTAACAGGCGTGTTCGAAACCGCAGGAGCTGATGATGAACGGGTTTATCGAAACTTGATTGGATGAGCATATCGGTAATAGCGATTTCAGTGTGTGCATTTATTGTTCATAGTGGTGTGAAATGTGGTTGGGGTACGACCGACAACCCGTCGGGGCGAATTTCGCACTGGGGTACTCAAAATTTGAAGAATTTAAGACGTTTCCATGAGTTTTGAAGGTATGGATAAGTTCTAAAAATCCGGTTCTCCTTATCTGGGCCATTAACTCCATACGGTCCAAGAAAGCTGGCACACTACCTTTAACGTGCATCGCAGTTCGCAAAATGTACACTCAGTTGATGTGTACATTTCGATGATATGTGATTTTCGATAGGAGTTTCGATGATATGGGATATCCTCTTGTGACTGATATGGTTGATCACCGTACCTGTGGTTCGCTCTGCACTCTGGGGTTAGCCTTTGACCTTTCCTCGAAGCCCATCAGTGGGCCTCTCAGCTCAGAGGCCATTTCTCAGAAGCAGGAGGCTTTATTTGCTTATGTTATTTCTCCGTTTATCGAAACAGTCGATGCACTCTTTGTCAAACGTCCTCTACTTTAAGGCGTTCGGGATCGCGTCTAGAGACTAAAGGCAAGGGTCGAAAAGTCCGCTTTTAGGGATGTATGCTGAGTGGATGATCTAAGCAGACCCGACCGGCTGCAGTCGATCGGCTAGCGACCGTTGACACGTTGTGTGCGGAGGCCCCGGTTTGTTTGATAACAGGGGAAGTCGGGGACTAACCCGCTCACTTCTGGCTATCGATATCTATCAGTCAGTCGTGATAGAATTAGTGCTACTTGTGTGTATGTTTGTGTGTCACTTTGTGTGTGTGTGGGGGGGGGGGGCAGTTGGATACGTTTTCAGATTTCGAATTGTCATACTTGTCTTGATGTTCGCAGCCCACTACTGGTGTAAATATTGCAGTCACCGGTCGCCTGCTCACCGTCCCGTGCCCCGTCTGTTGGCAGGAGAAGAACTCGTTCCTCAACTACAACGTGTCGTGCATCATGACGCTGCCGCCGTACCAGCGCCAGGGCTACGGCCGTCTCCTGATCGACTTCAGTGAGTACCGAGGAGTGCCGCCCTCCCCACTTGGAAGGGTTTTCAGAGCGCGGAATCGTCACCTCACTTTAATTTGCCGCCGGCGCTTTGGGGCGGCGCCGTGCCGGCGGACAGGCAGACGGGCCGGTGAGTTTCTCTGTAATTCTCCGAGAGCCGGCCGGCTCCACTCCCCTGATGGCCACCGACCGGCGTGGGTGACTGGGCGGCGGCCATGTCTGCGGCGGTCCGGCGTCCCGCCCCGACCCCGCCCGAGCCGCCTTCGCACCGCCCCGGCGGCGCGGCGGCCGGCGCGGCGGCCCGCCCCCTGCCGGCCGGCCGGCGACCCAGGCCGCCGCGCGGTATGGGCAGCTACTGAATGCGCGCCGTTAGCTACACCCTCGACGGCCATCGGACGGCCCATCGGCGCCGGTTGGGTGGAGCCGCCGGGGAGGGCGGGTCGGCGCGCGCCCTCACAGGCTGCCGCCGGCCGCGGGGAGGGACCGGGACGGCCCCCGGACGGTGACGTCACACCGTCACTCGGGCCCGGGAAATGTGACGTCACACACCTACACCAGACGTCCGCCATCTCTGCCGACCGTCGTCTCGTTCGTCCCGACTGCCTATGGGTGGGCGGTGGCCGGTGATTCTGACCGAGTCATCATCACCTGCCTTGATATGGCTACATGAACTAGGTGAAGGTGAAGAAGCAGTGCAAAGAAAGGGTAATGAAAATTGCTTTGCTCCTAAACATTTCACAATGCTCACAATGCACACAGACATTGCTTCGGTAGTCGGTACCCGTCCCCTATACGTTGGGTAAACAGACATTATCCGTTCGATCCCATCCCTCTGAGGCATCTGAGTCAAATTTGAGTTTTTTCCATTCCAAAATATAAAACTGGAACACTTAGAACAGTTTTATATTTTGAACTTCCTCGCTCTTCGGGAAATTTCCTCGGAGTAACTGCAATCGGGCCTTGAGTCGTAAAATATTAATGCAGGCCATGGGACATTAATTTGTTATGCTGATTGTTTCATTAACCCTCGCCAGTACATGGGGGGGGGGTGCAACCCCCCAGGTAGTTTTTTTCTGTTCTGCACTGAACATTTTTAAAGCTAGAAGCCTGATTTTTCGTATAGCTGCTGCTCTATCCTTTCTGAGCGTTCACTGAAAATTTCAAGTAGCAGTTCGTTTGCATTGCATTGTTTATCCATCTCTGTAGGTGTTGATCTCTTTCGTTATATCCGTGGGGTAAATAAAACAATCGCAAGCGCTCCGCAACTGTCGAGAAAAGTTACCCCAGTGTTTTTTCCATCCCTCTCGTCTTAAGTGGTAATTTGTGAGAAAGCTGGCGCACCTTGGCACTGGCGGGATGGATCTTTCCTTGCGATGTCCGCTGGGAATAACTGAGACGCGACTTGCATGAAAGCGTTAGAACTCGTTCTTCTCGCTTTCCCATAAGCTTCATTCATAATTGCAGCCGTGAGAGTCACGAATTAACGTCCCGGAACGCGCCCCGAGTCCCCGGTAAACAGACAAACGCCCCGGAACCATAGCGTCCACATCACTGAACTCTATAATAGTCCACATCCACTCGTGTTTTCTTTGACTTTCTTGTCCCGCGTCTCTACTTACATATTTGTCTTACTTACTTGTAACTTGTGCTTGTTGCGCTTGTCCCGTGGTGATTGGGAATGAGGCATGGCAAGAATTTAGGATATTTTGTGAGGATGCACTCGGCACTGTGTGTTTGTTATACATCGGCAGCCTTTTTCCTTGCAGAAACATGGTTTGTTAAATTCCTGTGGAAATATTTGTAACTCAAGGTTGCATGTCTTCGTTCGCATTGCTCCACAGCCACAGATTTTTCCACATTTTTATAATACCGGTTGAACTGCGGAGACATCATACGTTCAATGCCAAAGCTAATTCGTTTCAGTATCGTATTATTGCGGTGTTATATGGTTTATTTTATGTACGAGATAGTGAGCCCTGCACGTGCGGAGGGGCGAGAGGGTACTTCCAACGGGCTTGTGCAAAGCACCCTTCTAACCGGTCGCTAGCGGTGTGCCAAATTTGAACGCAATCGGCCCAGCCGTTCCTGAGATCTGGAAGCAGCATTCTGCACGTGCGCACGTGCAAACGGGGTCCAAAATGACTTTTGCATTGCACCCTACTAACTGGTCCCCAACCGTGTACCAAATTTGAGCGCAATCGGCCCAGCCGTTCTCGAGATCTGGAAACGCCCCCTGCACGTGCGCACGTGCAGTAGCACCCCAACCGCAACACATGGGAATGCATTGCCTGGTGGGTGCCTACCTGTATGCCAAGTTTCAGCGAAATCGCCCCAGTAATTACCGAGTTACTGAAATGGGAACAAATTTGGCACCTCTTATTGTTGTATTTTGCACGTGCATTGGGGGTGACCCACATACATCGAGAGTATCCTATTTTGGGAAGAAGGGATGCTGCTACCCTACAAAAATTACCGCAAGTCAATCGCCCAAGCGGCTGCTGAGATATGAGCCTCTCAAAATCACTACTTTTGCAAAACAGCTTGAACACCCTTGGCTTTTCACGTGGCACGTGCCACGACGGTCACTGAGCTGTATCAAAAGTAGTCAATTACGGGGTAGAAGGGATGGGGCTACCCAACAAAAAAGACCGCAGGCCAATCGGTCCAGCGGTTGCTGAGATATAAGCCTCTCAAAAGCGTTACAGGCCGGGCCGGGCCGGGCCGGGCCGGGCCGCTCATACTGAGATTTTTCCGTTATATTGAAAAGACTCACTTCGCTCGCTGCGCTCGCTCGCTCGTAATAACTGCTGCAAGTGCTCTTAAGCTGATCGCAGTGTTGGCGTTACAAGTGCAGTAAGGCATCGTAGTTGGGCACGAACGGCTATTGCGGTAGTCATAACCTGTCCCCCTGGAGGACAGGCGTTGAGCGTTTTGCCACCACTTTGCAAAACCGTCCTTTGAAAATGGCAACGTATAGGCAAACATCTATAGGCGACTCAATTTAAAGCCAAAACAAGCGTCATATTCGGTCTGATTTGACCGGCTAAACGGCTTACCACATAAAAGGCCATATCAATTTATGTATAAGACAAAACAGTCTGCCTGTTGATATTTAGCCAGTTTTGTTTTGGTAGCTGTGAGCAAAAAAAAAACTGAAAAATAGCCAAGGAAACTGATTTATCGGGTCCCGAATCCGATCATCCATCCGTGAAACCGCAATGGTTTGCCCGTCACCCTTGGCTTGGAGTGGTGACGGCCCGGACAGCAGTGAGCATATACCGTGCCCCCGGGCCTTGGAGCAGTGGGCTCTGAGTGCTGAATAACCAGTGAGCTCTGTCAGCTCTGAACAATCAACAGCAGTGAGCTCTGAGCTCAGAATTTCGGCCGACGCTCGCCGCGCGCGGCGGTGGGGCTGCTAAGTTCCCGACTTTGTCGATAGATGTCACTAGTAGTGCCACACTAGCTCCATCGCCGAGGCAAGTGATGCGCCGTGCAGCTAATTTTTTTGTAAGAGTTTGAGGGCGTTTCTTACAATTGGCTGAGTTCACGCCGGTCGCTGTTTCCGACATTCTTTTGCAAGACACTTTTTCATTTCACTATACGCGGCATGCATGGCTAATGGAAATAATTACCATGATTCGGTATAGACTTTAGGTAGGTACACGGTAAGAAGGCACCGTAGCCGTATCGGTACGCGTACGGCAAGACAGCATCAAGCCGAAAGAGTTTCGGTTGAATATGATATTTTGAGCTTTTGAAGCATCTTATCAAAAAGAAATATTTTCCACGATCAACTGCGTGGAACCACGTCGATGAAATAAGAAAAGCAGAGGTGATTTGACACAAGCACAACTTTTCCATGGCACATCTGAACCGATTAAAGGAAGGGTGCCACCTTTTGGACACAACGCAGTTTTTACAAGATTAGCCTCACATGAACCTAAAAACCGGCTTCACTTACCTATGCTCGAGACGGTCAGCATTGAATCCGCACGTGAAGTTATCATTTGCGAGTTTTGCTGCCAGCATTCGGGCAGGCAAAAATCTTCAGCACTATTTCCTCGTCGTGTTAAGGGTATTTTATAAAACATGAAATCAGCAAAGGTATGTATAAAAGTTATACTTTTGAAGCATGTTTTATCATTTTGAAAGGGTATATTTTTTCTTTATGGTATACACTTAAGTTTTAAAATTTTAATTGGGAAGTTTTTCTAGTAAGTTGCATGAAGGGTGAAGGGTTCCATAGATCTCTTAAGCATTGTAAAGGAAAAACCTTTACTCGACTTATTTGATGTTCTTTTCTGATGTTCTTTCTGATGTTCTTTTGATGAAACCCTTAGTTCAAATCATGTTATCTTCTTCCTTTTTATTTGTTCATCTTTTTGTCTCAGTTGCGCCATCAATGCAAATGGCAGAATGATATGTTGCCATGACAACAGGATATGCCAGCCGTCCTAGCTGCCACATCAAACGACCTTGAGTTGTAGTGGTGATATAAACAACGATCTTTTTTTTGGCCAATGTATTAAATGCAATGTTTCGGTTTTTTGTATATTGTGGACGCGCTAACCACGTCTAAAAATTCAAATAAGTAAAATAGATTCATAGAACAAAAATTTCGGAAGGTGGCACCCTTCCTTTAAACAAATACTATTAGTTATGTTTTTTTTTCTAAGAAACAATTAACCTTATGAAAAGTAGGTATCTATAGTCTTAGCTCCCACTTAATTCCATATTTGTTGTGTAAAATGATAACTATATCAATGATATGATCGAGAAAACCCGTTTTGAAAATCAGATTATTTTGTGCCATGGAACCGTAGTCATTTTGTACCTTTGAGCAGCAAAAATATTCCTTTTTGATACGGTTACAAAGCTATCAGATAACCCAACGATAGCCTCCATTAAGAGATTCCTGGGATTACGCACTCACACGTCGGTGTGTGACCGATGGCACCTACATAGTTATCTTACCCGGGATGTTGTGCGTGTATGGTCTGTGTG